GTGAACTTTGCTTTAGTTTGTCACTTGTTTCACTTGTGGTTGACGAAAAGACCTTCTCTACAATTGGTGCTTCTCAAGTATGGTGTTTTGTGACTCGCTTGTCAAGTTGGGCCTGCGAAATATCTTTGCCCAACTTGAGGGGGAGTGTTGGCGAGTCTTTACTTAGTTAGGATTTTGGTTCCTTATTTCATTAGAATTTTGGGTACTTATCAATTATTATTTAGTCCTATTGTAATAGAGATTTACTTCCTATTGTAATTTAGATATATTTTCTATTTTATTTGGGGTTAACACATCTTTGTACTTGTATAAATACCTCCATATTGGAGAAGAATAATAATATGAGCAAATATGAGCGTATCTGAGGAACTTGTATAAATACCTCCATATTGGAGAAGAATAATAATATGAGCAAATATGAGCGTATCTGAGCATAACTAAATATTTACCCTACTTTGTTTGACATGGCATCAGAGCCCACTTTTCTGGTGACCCGTGTGTTGTGCTCACCCGTGTTCTAGTCTCATATTTTTTTTCCTACCGGTGCCCTGTGTGCCCTCCTGGATTTTGCCGAATAAAACACGTACGTATTGTATTCGTATTTTTCCCTTTCCGTATTTTACTAACTATGAAGAAATGTGAGAGGCTAATATTACTTTTTACTTGTTGTAACAAAAATGCAAGATGGTTGTTTTGCAATCTCTTTGCCAACTAGAACAACAATTTCAAACAAAGATTTGTGGATTAGTAGTAAGAGAGGTGATAGTATTCTTTATGTAAAGTGTTGTTTGAAAAGTGAAGCAACTATCAAGAACACTCCAACTCAGCATGCAATTCTCTACGACAAATAATGTGTGCAATAAAAGAATTTATTAACACTCGAGGGAACGAGGTAGATCAAAGACAAACATTCCCACAATACAAGAAGAAGAAAAAATTGAATTCTAAGACTGATTTACTGTGAAATTTCTCTGTCTTCAATATATGCTTTGGATATATTGAAACTAACAAATTAATATCTATAAACTAATGCAACTAGGAAAGTCTTTTAATAAAAAGTATAGCCGCGCAGCGATACATTTTTAATATAATATATTTAAAGAGTATAGCCGTGCGGCTATACTACGGTAATTTTTTATATATAAAAACAAAATAGTATAGCTGAGCGGCTATACTGTTTTTTACACATGCACCTAGGCGCTAGGTTTGAGCATATTGAATCACATATTTTAAGGTAAGAACCACATAATTTTTTATTCTTTATGTGTATTTATGTGATAGTAAACATGAGAAGGTCATGAATTAGAATAATTCCATTTCTTATCATACCTATCGATGGTAAATAAACATGCCATAAAAGTTCATTTTATATCATACATAATTAACCATATTAACAAATGAGATTATAACTTTTCTTTGACAAATGCGATATTCTAAACTGTTAGGATATACAGGAGGGAGTTCAAAACTCAGATTTGCTAAATGAGATTTTGGTGGCGTTACGTCCACTCTAATTTTAATGAGTGCCGTATGAGGTTTGAACGGTTAGTCGACAAGCCCATGCCTTTAATAGACTGGTAGTTGACCCACTTTCTCAAACAGCTTCAAATCACTGAACTTCGAACCCAAGCAAGCAAAGTAACCATGGACGAAGCTGAGCAGGAAGTAGAGAACCAACATCTTCTCCCGCCGCTAGAAGCTCTGAAGAAAGCTTCTAAAAACCTACAAAGCAACCCCATTTCAATTATATACAACAATTACGACATAAGCACCGCCATTGAAGCTCTTCTAGAGCTCGGAACCAAAGCCGACCCCGTTATTTCCATAGACCCAAGTCTCTTCAAGCTCAATCAGTTGCTCAGCAACCTCAAAACCCTTTTCGAAAAGCTCGAAAAACTGCAGGGCTATGGCCTCCGGTCCCTCCTCCACCGCCAAATCACCAATTACAAAATTTCCCAAATTGGGTACGCCATGGAAGCAGAGATTCAAGCGTACGTAGATCAGAAAAACGTACAAAGTTTTGTGAAAACTATGGAAGAGTCTGTCGAAGACGATAAAAAGGTGAAGGCTTTGATGGGTTTAGAGAACAGGTTGGGCCAAGGGTTTGATAAACAGTATCAGCAGTTAATTTTGAGAGCAAAGGTATTTTCTTTTCTTGAATTTATGGTTTGTGACTCAAAGTTTTCGAATTGGGTTCGAGACCAAGCTGCTCTTGCTGTTCTTGGTCTGGTTAAATTCAATAAGGATGTTTTTGTGGGATTGGTGCTGATGGGTCCGATTGTTAGAGCTTTAATTCAAATGGGTTCATCTTGTTCGATTCAAGTCCTCACTGGACTAGTCAAAATCATCAGAACCCCTCTGGTTGATGACATCAATGGAGAAATCCCAAGAATTATCAGCCTCCTGGGCTCTGAAGACTTGTCAACTAAAGCTGCAGCCATGAATTGCCTTCTTGAAATTGCGATTTTGGGCAGAGAGGAAGTGATTGGTTTAATGCTTGAAGAGGACCTGATCAAGAAGCTTATGGGTGTGCAGAGATTGGAGGTGGGTTTGCAGTCCAATGAGGACGAAAATGGAAGTGTTTGTGCGGAGGAGAGAGAGCCAAAAATGGAGGAAAGTGTGGAGAAATTTCCATTTTCAAGGTGTGTGGCAAGTTTTGCAGTGCAAGTGGAAGTTGGGGAAGGATTGGAGCAGGGTGAGAAAAGAGCTTTTAAATTGGAAATACTGAAGAGAGTGAGAGAGGCCTCTGTTTCTGATGCAGAGGCAGCTACTGTTGTTGCAGAGGTGCTTGATTATGTCAGTGTGGTCGACCGTTGCACCTGTTAGTTTGGAACTCTATCTACTCCATGAATTAAAATAATTTAGAGTAGCTATATATTGAATTAGTTTTTTTTTTTAACAAACAATAGTCTAAACTATTATAAATTAATCTAATTTATGAGAAAGATGATTTGAACTTGAGTGCGAAGGGACAGGCTCACTGTCTTAGCCAACTAACCTAACTCAGGTATGCAGAAGTTTAATTAGTTTAATAGATACCTCCTTCTACCTTCAGAATTAGCTAGAATATAGGTATAGAAAGCGAAACGATTTAGAGAGGTTTTTAAAATTTTAAAAATTAGGTATGCTGACTTGCCATGGGCATATCCATATTGAAGCTTTGTGCAATGGATTGGAAGCATTGGCAGACTCATAAATTTTTTAGCGGAAGTGCAATATTGACTAAGTATGAAAAATGGTTTTTCTTAATAATCATTTTCTCAAGATAATTTTTGGCGGCTTTTATTCCTTACACATCAAATAAGAAAACTTGATTTTATGGGATTTTAGTATGAAGTATATATTGACTTAATGAGCCATCCTTTTTAGCCTAAATCGTATTTTACACTAAAACTAATTTTTCATATTTTGATTTGGTGGGAATTTAATTTTCTAGTTTTTTTTTTTGAATCCAAATGGGGGATACTTCCTTATTTATATTGTAAACTTAAGTAAATGGAGTAATATAAAAATTAATGAAAGTAAAAGGACAAAGACATTTACTTAAATGTTGAAAATGGAAATAAAGTAATATGTACATCAGTTGAGTAAAGGGGCAATTTGAAGCACCTACAATGGTTTTTTCGGTGAGGGGAGATGGAGCTGCACTGCCTCCTGGGCTCTGAAGACTTGTCAACTAAAGCTGCAGCCATGAATTGCCTTCTTGAAATTGCGATTTTGGGCAGAGAGGAAGTGATTGGTTTAATGCTTGAAGAGGACCTGATCAAGAAGCTTATGGGTGTGCAGAGATTGGAGGTGGGTTTGCAGTCCAATGAGGACGAAAATGGAAGTGTTTGTGCGGAGGAGAGAGAGCCAAAAATGGAGGAAAGTGTGGAGAAATTTCCATTTTCAAGGTGTCCAACAATAGTCACAAACTAAAATCTTCAAATTGAAGTTTGTTGACTTATATGGCAATTTGAAAAGCTTTGTTTGCTACTTTAATATTTTGTGCCCTAGCAGACTCTTCAATTCAATTAATGCAATGTTATTGAAAAGAATGAAAAATGTGAAAATATGTGAAAAATGTCAATGTATTTATTGTATGAAAAGAAAAAATGCATGTTTTTAACATTTTGAAGGTAGATTTTATTCCAAAGTAAAATTAAATATTTGAAGAGCCAAAATCAACTTACTAGTCTTGAAGAGAGAGAAAGATGTTATAGCTTTAATAACTGAATTTTACAAGGATATTGGAGAGAGTTTTGATGATGTGACTCACCCATTTTAGAATTCCAAAGTTATTGAATAAGTTAGGAGTGGGCATGTAAATTGCAAAACCGAACAACCGAGTCGAACTGGGCTGGTCCAAATCGGAAAAAATCGAGTTGACAAAAAAAGTCAACAATCATTGAAAAAATCAAAAAAAGACTTGGGCCCCAAAAAAATCGAATTTTAAGTTAACTCAGCCCAATTAACAGTTATTTTGATCATTTAGAAATTGAATTCATTTCCATAAGTTGATTATGTCAGTGTGGTCGACCGTTGCACCTGTTAGTTTGGAACTCTATCTACTCCATGAATTAAAATAATTTAGAGTAGCTATATATTGAATTAGTTTTTTTTTTTAACAAACAATAGTCTAAACTATTATAAATTAATCTAATTTATGAGAAAGATGATTTGAACTTGAGTGCGAAGATCTAATTTATGAGAAAGATGATTTGAACTTGAGTGCAAAGGGACAGGCTCACTGTCTTTGCCAACTAACCTAACTCGAGTATGCAGAAGTTTAATTAGTTTAATAGATACCTCCTTCTACCTTCGGAATTAGCTAGAATATAGGTATAGAAAACGAAACGATTTAGAGAGGTTTTAAAAAATTTAAAAATTAGGTATGTTGACTTGCCATGGGCATATCCATATTGAAGCTTTGTTCAATGGATTGGAAGCACTGCCGGACTCATAAATTTTTTAGTGGAGGTCTAAGTATGAAAAATGGTTTTTCTTAATAATCATTTTCTCAAGATAATTTTTGGCGGCTTTTATTCCTTACACATCAAATAAGAAAACTTGATTTTATGGGATTTTAGTATGAAGTATATATTGACTTAATGAGCCATCTTCTCCTCTTCCTCTCCTCTCCTCTCTGTCTGATTTCTCCTTTTGTTTTGCTCGATAGATTGGAGGATCTGTTTTTTGTTTTACTGGATCTGTTGCTGGAAAAATGCAGCAAGAGAAGCTGAAAGATTTTTGTTATTTTACTGAAATATGATTTTGGGCTTTTTTTTCCTTCATGCGCCTACAAATGACGAATGAGGACCTGGGAAGATGATTGTATGATGGAGAAGTTTGAAAAAAAAGTGACATGGGATTGTTTGCTGGTTCAGACCGAGAAAATCGCAACCGAACCGGATCTAAACAGGTCCGGATTGGTTTGTTTAAATAATTACTTTTTCATCACAACCGGACCGAACCGAACCAATTAAACAGTACAATTTCGGTTTTAAATTTGGCTGAAAATCGGGCCGAACCAGACCGTGCCTAGAATAAGCTATTGGAGATGCTTTTAGCCCATACTTTGTGGCTCTCATAAACTGGACACCCCAACCCCATACTCAAATCTTGTAGTTTGGACTCAACAAAATTTAATTTAGTGAAATAAATCCATGACAAAAGTTTATCAAAAAGTGATGAGAGAGGGGTAAGCGGTCGTGTTAGGATTAGGACAAGTTTATAATTCTATTTTCTCGAATCTAAAACTAAAATCTTCAAATTGAAGTTTGTTGACTTATATGGCAATTTGAAAAGCTTTGTTTCCTACTTTAATATTTTGTGCCCTTGCATGTTTTTAACATTTTGAAGGTAGGTTTTATTCCAAAGTAAAATTAAATATTTGAATAACCAAAGTCAACTTACTAGTCTTGAAGAGAGAGAAAGCGGTTTTGATGATGTGACTAACCTATTTTAGAATTCCGAAGTTGTTGAATTAGCTGCTGGAGATGCTTTTAGCCCGTACTTTGTGGCTCTCATAAACTAGACACCCCATACTCAAATCTTGTAGTTTGGACTCAAAACAAAATTTAATTTAGTGAAATAAATCCATGACAAAGGTTTATCAAAAAGTGATGAGAGAGGGGTAAGCGGTCGTGTTAGGATTAGGACAAGTTTATAATTCTATTTTCTCGAATCTAATCAAAATAAAAGTTAAGCTATCTTATTCAAAAAAAAAAATGACAGAGATATGAAAACACTCAATACCAGATTTTGTAGTCTGAAACATAACATGCTGCTTTTATAGATGAATTTTCTGCTACGTAAAAAATGCATGATAAAAGAATGTTCTTATATTCTAATTTATCTACAGATTAATTATCCTCTTATGTATAAATTTAAATTTGTTTATGCATAGGAGGAGCTACACTTATCAAAATTAGATTATCTAATTCAAAATCAATTGATAAACGAAGAGACTCAAACATCCGACACGAGATTTTATATTATTTACGTAACATGCCGGGTATAGTTGGTGTATTTTCTTTACTTAAAAAACAATGCATGATAAATTTGTTAACATCACTGTCCTAAAAATAATGCCATTATCTACACATTTTTATATTTTTATTCTCCTCCTACCTGCAACTATCATTGGAAATGTCATGTTCTTTGTATAAATGTTTTTCTGTTGGCATGCTTATTGTCTTTTCTACCAACAACGATTATTTTATAGCGCATACGTTTTATATATCTCACAACTACAGAAGCTGTATGTTTAATTTTCTACAATCTGATTTCTTACGCAAAAAAAACACCTAAACAATTTTTTGTTGGCTAATAAAATATAATTTTTTTTAAAAAAATTTGATCATCCTAGCCATTGAGCTATGTACATATCTTTGACAAATTTTTGGTTACCTTTCAAAAAGTTTGAATAATAAATTAATTATTTTTTTGAAATAGTGCTACTATTATATATTATCTTATTTCTTGATTTCGATCAATCGGTTCTCATCCCACACACTTGATATTTTTTTTATCCAATAATTATAATTTGATATTTATAAGGAGCATCTTTTCTTTTTATATTTATTTATTTTAATTCTATTTGAAAAATTAGCTTTTTCCTCTAGTTGAATACATCTTATTGTTTTTAGTTTTAATCATGCCTTGTATTTGGTTCAACATACCGTCACAACTTAGTGAAATCGAATAAGTGAGTGGGATATGCGATTTATATGGAAATGTCATAAAATTTCGAGGGTCCTATAAATAGATTTGGATTTTATGATTGATCAAGACATGAGAAAAAGAGAAAGAAAGGGATGGAAAATTAATAACACAAAATTCTAAACCAACAAAAAATATATATTTCACTTTTTATTTTTGAATATAAATGATAGTCTAAACTAAAAGGAAAGGGCTCACACACACACCGAAGTTCGAACATGAGACTATTGATCTGTAAATAAATGTACTTTTTCAATGAGTTAGACCCGTTGGCTCACTGTTTTTCTTATAATGTGAAGGGAAATAAGGGAAATATACTTTTCCATTGTACAATTATTAAACTTTTTCTTTTTTGTAACATTACCGTATGAAAAAGAAGACATATTTTGTAATAATAAAAATTGAAACTTATAACAGATGAAATAACAACCAAAACGTTTTCAGTTCTTTCTTTGTTGGTCTCAACACTTTCCCTCTCCTTCTCTTTCTACCCGAAATTTAAGATTTCTTTATTTCCTGCAAGAAAGCCAACCCCATTCCCCTTGTCTCACACCAGCAGCCCCGCCTCAACCGGGCCTCTCTCTCTCTCTCTCTCACCTAAATATACGCCAGATATTGGAATT